TCAATGTTTATCATTTCTTTGTGTTGCAAACATTCAAAATCTGTTCTAGCTATTTGAAAATATACAATAACTTGTTGTTATTTATGGTCATCCTGTAGGGTTCCAGGAACTAGAACTTCCTCCTCCTATTCAGCTGTACTGTTTTATCTGAGAGCTGCTGCCCTCCCCCACCTCTAGTAACCACTATTCTATAATCTATTTCTATAAGATCAACTTTCTTGGCTTCCACATGAGAATAAGCAGTATTCATCTTTCTGTACCTCACTTACTTCACTTAACACAATGGATTTCATGATTTTATCGTAACTTGGATTATTCCCCTACATATGAAATCACGCTACTTCCTCTTTTCTCCAATCACAGGAAATCTCTGCACAAATGCCTAAGCTACTGCACCTTACTGGAATGTCCCCTGTGGCCACCCTTACGAAGATTCGGTCACCCTTATGAAGCCTTTCTTCATTTGGCCCCTGAGTGAGAACTGCAACTCTTCTGAAAACCACAGCACTTTGCTTTTACACGCCCCCCCTTGTGGGATTTAATCCATTCTGCACAGTCCTCCTGTGATTTAGATGTATCTGGGTGTGAGTAAAAGTTCCTTGGCATCACCTATGTTCCCTAGAGAGCCACACCTGGTCACTCAGACCTGGTAGGTGTCAACAAATTTGGTTTGGTGCCTTATCGAATGAACATGTAAAAGTTAAGATGATGTTAAAATTTAACTCTTGTGCATTTTTAAAAATTAATGTGGTGCCAAACTGTTTGAAGAATTTATCAATCCCCTGTAAGACTCTAACAATGTGCTATATCAAAAGAGTTCTGGGAAAAATGACCTTACCTCCTCCTGTCTTAAAAAGTCATGTCAACCTAGGATTAAAAAAAATCATCAGCTTGGCGCCTGTGGCTCAAGCAGCTAAGGCACCAGCCACATACACCTAAGGTGGCGGGTTTGGATCCCTAGCCCAGGCCCGCCAAACAACGATGGCTGCAACCAAAAAATGGCCGGGCGTTGTGGCGAGCGCCTGTAGTCCCAGCTACTTGGGAGGCTGAGGCAGGAGACTCGCTTGAGCCCTGGAGTTGGAGGTTGCTGTGAGCGTGATGCCATGACACTCTACCCAGGGGGGATAGCTTGAGGCTCCGTCTCAAAAAAAAAAAAGAAAATCATCAAAACTGATAATGACATCTATACAGTGGCAGCCAGTATGAAAATAGCAGGTCCAGTGTTTGAATGGCAGAGCCAGGGTCCAACCAAACTGGAAACCTTTACCAACAGACTGCAGCTTACCAAAGCTGCCTGGAAAGGGGTTTAACCATTGAAAAGATGTGTGCTTTGTCTATGGTACCTTTCATCACTCATGAGCTATGGACTCTATTCTGCACAGGTGGGAGGAGAGGCTCCCTTTCCTGTGTGCACTGGTAGGAAAACAAGCACTAACACTCCAAACTCCTGTGCTTATTTCTGTAATAAGAGAACAGGTGGCACTGTCAACCAGTAAATGCCAAACTGCATTTTTCACACTGAAAGTGTGAAGTGTGAAGTCCAAGGACTCTCTCAACACAGACCACTCCTCTTACAACAAAACTCACCACTAGGTGGCAGGAGTGTAACGCATTTTGTGAACAAAAGTGTCATGACAGGTTCTTTTTCAATAACACAGGTTAAACTGCTTATGATTTTTCAAAAATCATTTTTTCACTTTTAGAGTTGTATATTATAAATGATTCTTATTAAAAATTACTCTATTGAAAGTATAAAAAAAGCAGAAACTTTTACTTTAATCCCATAATATACAGATTTCAGCATTTCCATACCCAACAATAAACATGACTTAAATGTGGTTTAAGCATGTAAATTGAAGCACCCTGTTAATGAGCTAAATAAAACATAACACACTGTATATTAAAATATAGTAAAGACTGAAATTCAATTTTGTAATACAAAACATATACAGACAAAATATGGGTAAAGAAGCTATAACATATACGTGGGTCATTATGAAAGTTTTGAGATACACAAAACAAGAAACCTAAAATCCACGTGGATGGAAACAAATGAAGCCCTCCCAGCAACACCAATAAGCCCAGCAAGATGAAACTCGCATGGGGGAGTCAGAAAAGACGCTGTCAACCGTGCTGGAAGTGAAGTAAAGGACCAGAATACAATCTATCTCAAAACTTTCATAGTGACTCACATACATAAATGTATACCTAAAAAGTACAAAAAGACAAAAGCTGCTTTTAACTCATGAAAGTTGGAATTCTTGCATTGTCCAAAGTGATTTTTGGTTCTGTTTCCTATAACTTGTAATCTGTTTCTCAGTGTCAAGATAAAAGGGAGGTTTCAGGTTGTACTTCACAAGCACTTCTCTGCACGTAACACTGAAGATTCCTAATACACAAAATGCAAATTGGATAAAACCATCATTACATTTTCTCTTTTTCACATATACATTAACAGCGTAAGAGGAAGCTTGATGTACCTTGTAAGAATTTTGAGAAAATACATGCAAGTTAAAGTGAACATCTGGAGGCAAATTTGTTGAATTATCAAAGGGTGTGCACCTTTAATAAATTGAGTCTTTTGTTTGTTTGTTTTTTTGAGACAGAGTCTCACTTGTTCACCCTTGAAAGAGTACCGTGGTGTCTTAGCTCACAGCAACCTCAAACTCTTGGGCTCAGGCAATCCTTTCACTTCAGCCTCCCAAGCAGCTGGGACTACAGGTGCCTGCCATAATGCCTGGCTAATTTTTAGAGACTGGGTCTCGTTCTGGCTCAGGCTTGAACCTGTGAGCTCAGCCAATCCACCTGCCTCAGTCTCCCAAGTGCTGGGATTACGGGCATGCACCATTTTGTGCCCTGCTACCTTTAATAAATTGAATTTCAATATAATTGTTTCTTCTGCTTTCTGTCTTTAGTGATCCTCTGTGGGTAGAAATTAAATTAGACATAACTAAGAATAGCAAATACACATATAAAACCATAAAATGGTCAAAATCACCCCTGAGAGTAACTGATTAAGTTAGACAATAACTCTTGCATATATTTACTCAATAGGCACTCAGGAATAAAATATTTTAATGATTTTTTTCTTTTACTAATTCTGAGGGTGGCACTTGTGGTTCAGTGAAAAGCATGCCAGCCCCATATACCAAGGGCGGCGGGTTTGAACCCCCAGCCAAACTGCAACAACAACAAAAAAGCTAAATGTATTTTACTAATTTTGGTAAGCAGAAAATAAAATCTCACTTTTAACCTAAAGAACCCTCTAGATTTATAGAAATCCTTTTTTAGGGAGCGAGGATTCCAAATCATCAGTGGGACAGGCGTAGGGTTTAGCAGAAGGAATATTAAACTTCATCTCACCCAGGGCAGAGTGCAAGTTTTGGCTAATCATAGAAACCAGAGCTGGCAAAACTGGAATTCCTTCCCAAGACTGGCTACTAGTCCTGGGTCTTCACAACAGTTACACAGGACTTTTTCAAAATATGCAAATGAGTAAATGGTCGTTGATATTTAAGACTCCTGAGGACGAATGGCCCTGAGCTCTCCAAATGAACCTTAAGTCAAAAAAAATCAGACAGCACTTCTCTGGCTGCTCAGGGACCCTAAACACAGGGATCCTTGAGACTGATCTGAACCCCCTGAAGGTATTCTATAATTTGTTCCCCTTTCCAGGTCTTTCTAGAAAGGTTCTACCAGCTATGTCTCCCTGTATAGCACAGATAAAAAAAAATGGATAGTCTAGAGTCTGTCTTGGCTTCTGAGATTGCAAATCTTGTGTGCAATCATTTATCTGCATGCTTTAAGAAATAAACTGAGGTCTTCTCCAGGAACTGGTGCTAGGGGATTATACTCTATGGCAAGCATCAATTTATACCTGAAAAAATAGTCCAGAAGGGTATGCAAAGAACAATTTGCAATATACACACATGGATGCATTTCTTCATCTTTCAGCTATGTAATGTTATTTTACCGAATTCATTTACGAAGTGAAAATTATACAGTAAAGTTGCCTGGATGTTTGACAGGATATGAAAAGAATATTGCTCTTGTAGCCTTGACAGTTATTAACTGATTCAATTCATGAGATGCTTATAATCTACCCTAAAAATAAGCACATTAACATCATAAAAATCTCAAGCATCACTCAGAGGCTGACAGGTACCAAACTGCATATTCCTAATTCGATCCTAGGAAATAAAACAGACTTAGAACCTGTAACGATCTCTTAACACAAAGAATTTCATTTTCATGTACTCTGTTGGAAAGGATTTAGAAATGGCTTAAAATATAAAGAATAAAGATATGGGTAATAAAAATAGTTTCAAAAATGAAACATGTGAGCGCACCTAACAGCTGGATCTTTTTCAACTTTTTTGTCCCTAAGAATGTAACACATAGTAGGTGCTCGATAAATACTTTTGAATGAATGGTTTGGTAAATGCCACCTCAAAGAATTTTACTCATTAGCAGTTTCTTTTTTTTTTTTTTCTTGAGACAGAGCCTCAAGCTGTCCTCCTGGGCAGAGTGCCGTGGCATCACAGCTCACAGCAACCTCCAACTCCTGGGCTCAAGTGAGTCTCCTGCCTCCGCCTCCCAAGTAGCTGGGACCACAGGTGTCCACCACAACACCTGGCTATTTTTTGGTTGCAGCCGTCATTGTTGTCTGGCGGGCCGGGCTGGACTCGAGCCTGCCACCTTAGGTGTATGTGGCTGGTGCCTTAGCCACTTGAGTCACAAGCGCTGAGCCATTAGCAGTTTATTTCAAAAGAGATAAAGACTACTTCTGAACTTGGTAAACAACTTAATGACTCCTACTCTTGCCAATAATTGTGACAGCAACATCATCGGCAGCACAGGGTGGCTGGCCTCCACAGGCTCAGGACCAAAGGCTACACCAGTGCAGCAATGACATCTCCAGGTGAGGTAAGAGCCTGGCTATGCAAGTTCCCCTCCCACAATAGGGTCACCTACAGAAGGGACCCCACCTTGGTCCTTACCTCCTTCTTTTCTTCTGGACTGGCCACCTGGCTGAGGCTCAGCTGAGGGTCCCCACTGTCCTCATCACCATGTGTGGTTTGCACCAAATCCTGGAAGGACACAGGTGCTGGCTCTCTCTGAGCAGGCACCTCTGCCCTTTCTTCACTCTCCACGGAACTGAGGGACAGTGCACTGTGACTGCTGGGACATTTGGCACTTCCTGCCCCTGGGCTCTGGGGCTTGGGCGTGGTGGGCCTTAGCGGGGTAGGAGGCTGCTCCCGGTCAAATGTAAACTGGCTGTCAGCATTGGGTTCATCAGAGTCTTTGCTCAACATGTCCTGGGCAAGTGAACTTGATGAGGAACTGCTGGCACAAGGACCATCACTTTCTGATGCCTGGGAGCTTTTGGCTTCGAGAGGAAACACTGCAGTGTTGACATCTATGTGGGGACCCTGAGGAGTGGCTGAGCTGAAGCCAGGGGCCGAGGTACAGCGTGCAGCAGCGCTGTGCGCTGGGGACATGCCCCGCCGTCTGTCCTGCTCAGAGCTGCTGGACGCCCGGCGGGAGTAGTCATCGTGCAGCCTGCTGTGCTGCCAGAGTCTCGGGTGTGCTTCACGGGGGGATGGGGCCCCACTCTTGGGACTCTCCCTCTTCCAGGCGGCATCTGTCACATTGCTTACAAGTCGTAAGACTCTGTCAAAGTCCTTGGCCCTTATCGGGCTCTTCCAGCGTTTTGTCCTTCTCTCTGAGCCACTGAGTTTTTCAGAGTCTGCAGAAGAACTGCTCAGGGTCCTCTGGGGCACTGGCCTTTCATGCGCCACCCTGAGGTCCGTGAGGTTGGAGGTAGACTTCCTTTTGAAGGAGCTCTTCTTGAGAAAGTTCAAGTTGTCTGTGCTCTTGCTTTTCCTGTAGATGATGCTGTTACACTCGGGGTCCTTCACCAGGATCTCACATAGGGCGGGCTCCTGGCTGATGGAGGACAGGGGTCGGCCCTGCTGCTTGTCGGTGTCCACCAGGCTGATGCGGCCCAGGCCGTAGGCCCTGCGGATGCTGCGGGAGCGGTGAGTGCTCCGCTGGAAAGCATCATCAGTCTCCTCAGGGTCAGAGCAATCGGAAGCACCCCCGTCCCCTGCCCTGGGGGGGTCACTCGCCTGTCCTGAGGAGGCACACTTGTTTGTCTGGATGCCTATCACAGCGCCATTTGGGATGAGTTTCCCTGGGTCATGTTCTGAAGCATCTTCCTTTGAGGCACCTGATCCCTCTCGGTTCTGAATTCCCTGGAGGACTGATGACTTCAATTTTTTGAAAGATCCCATCTTCCGGAAGGAGGCAAGGGTGTTCCATGTTGAGGAATGGCCCACCAGGACCACGGACTGGGGCCTGTCAGGGTGGGTGCTCGTCCTCTTCCGACTCACAGAGAAGAGGCGCACGAGCTTGGAAGGGCTGACTCGGGATTCCTGAACCTCTGTGTCTCTGCCGGGGCTGCTGCGACAGCTGCCATTCTGCCAGACAGGAGAAGTCACCATCTTGGTGTCTTTTGCATCAGACACTGAACAGGTGGGTGTGGCACCTCGCCTGTGACCGTTCTGGGCTGTTATCATGTTCCTAGGGCAGGGCACCCGGGGCAACAGGGCAGTGTGGTTCACGGCCACATGTACAACTCTGTCCGCTGGTCCTGGCTCAAGACTTTCATCTCCAAGGCGGTGGCCAGCCTGGCTCCCCCAACTACTGTGCCCATCAGGATCCTCCAAGGTGGTCACTGCCTGCAGCAGAAAACAAAGCAGGCATTTAGCCATTTCCCCCTACAGGAGCCTCTATAAACACAGGCTAATTATTCTGTTTAACAATTGCTAATAGAAAAAAAGGCATGCCTCATGACAGGGCTGATCAAATAAAAACTACTTAAATTAAAACTGTACTGCTTTTCCTCAATTCATTTAATATTAAACTGAAGGGAAGGATGCAAAGATATATCCCTAAAAACACAGTGACGGGTTTTGCATTCAATATGATGGTAAACTCTTGAATTCATTGAAACCTATTAAGTAAAACCTGGAAAATTGCTAGAATGAAAACACCAAGGCATTAATCAAGACTATGTTGTCCGCTCATCATTAGAAATACAAGGGAAAATTTCTTACGAAATAGCGAAAGCAAACTCCACAACCATTGCCTGTGTTGAATCCAACACAGCCACCAGGAGATCCTGCTTAGCACACACAGCCATGAGTGTGCAGCGATGTGACGGGGACCAAGACGCTCTTAGCTGCTTACTGCTGAAAGGCAGCTACCAAACTTGAAGGAGGGTCACACAATTTGACAGGGATGCAAAGGGGAGAGGGATTAAGTCAAGGAAGCAAGAGGAAGCAAGCTTTGTGAAAGAAATGGCATTACTGTGGGGGGTTCTCAATAGATGTTAACTAGCCAGGGAATGGAGAGAAAAGAGGATGACACTGAAGTATTAGAAATTCAGGTGCAGAATATACAAACACTGCACCTTCATCCCTCCTTCCATGACAACCACACACACCTGGGTCCATGTCTTTCCTACCATACACCTGTATCCACGCCCTTCCCCACACACCTCTGTCCATGCCCTTCCCCCACACACCTGTCTTCAGGCCTTTCCCCCTACACACCTCTGTCCATGCCCTTCCCCCACACACCTGTCTTCAGGCCCTTCCTCCCACACACCTGTCTTCAGGCCCTTCCTCCCACACACCTGTCTTCAGGCCCTTCCCCCCACACACCTGTATCCAAGCCCTTCCCCCCCACATATCTCTTTCCATGCTCTTCTCCCACACACCTGCCTACAGGCCCTTCCCCTACACAGACCTAGTTCAGACCCTTCTCCCCCCAGACACACCTGTGTCCATGCCCTTTTCCCACACACACACCCCTGTGTCCAGATCCTCCCCCGGACACACACACAAATACTAAGCTCTGCTCTGGAAAAGTGAAAATGCTGGTCTCCTTAACCTTTCCCATCAGGCCAAGACATGCTCAGCTCTCAAGTGATAGTTAAATGTCACAGCCCCCCCACCCCCGACTTCTCAATATTGAATGTGTAAATGAATGAGTGGTATTATACTAACCATAAAAGACTACCAATTTTTAAGTGTCAGGGCCCTGCACTAAGGTCCTTCACAACAGCATGCCAGTAAGTACACATATAAAACTACGAGGTCAACAGAATGGTTTTCATTTTATAGACAACCAGATGGACACTTGGTCAGGTTAGATAGCTTCCCTGGGGTCCTACAGCTGTCCCATCCAAAATCCATGCTCTTCTCCACTGCATTAAACTAATGAACAGAGAGAGGAACAGCTGGGATTGCACCCCAGGCATTGGACTCCAGTTCCAGGGCCTCATGACCTTGACTGAAATCAAATCCCAGCAGTCCTCAGATATCAGTCAAGGCAATTATCTCCAAGGCAATGTTAAAGACAAGAAAGGGGAAGGAAGACAAAACTGTTTAAAGAGCTAGAGGTGAGATCCAAATTTAGCTTACCCTTCTCAAGTGTAGAATCTGACCTCATACAAAGAGAAATATATCGTTGCCTCACTTTGCTGGGTTCATGTTTTTATTTACCCTGACATGATACCCGCTGAGAAGGGATTCCATCTGGACAAGGGAGGCTACGCTGACTTGGACCAGCAGCCAGTTTCACTAATCAGAAGACTACAGGACCACCGCATGACCTCTGCAGTCTAATGCTCCAATGGAGACTCTAGGGGCCTGAGAAGTCACAGGCCACATGTGAATGAGCCACAGAAGCAGATGAGAAGCCTGTGACCAGTTCCAAAATAAGTCCAACATTTGGCATTACCTGTCTACCCTCACCTATCAGCATGTCAGAATCCTGAAATGAAAGAGTTTAATCAAAGAGTCAAGTCTGGTTCACAGGCACTGACTGCACACTGAGTACTAATGATGGTCTTACTATGACTCCCACTGGATACAGAAGAGAAGGCATGGTCGTCCGTCCCGCCTGCCCCCGTCCTCCCCTCCTTCCCTCCCCACGCCTGCCTTGGACAGAAGCAGCTTACTGACACAACTAAAGGGCGCTGTGATACCTTTTATAACTAAGGAGGACCCAGTTTTAAGACCCCAAGGGATGCAGGGAAACACCTGATTTAATGTTGGGTAGTTGAAGAATGGTCTAAATTCTAATCTTAGAATGGTCTAAATTCTAATCTGTCATATGGATCTTCAGTAGTCATTTCAGTGGTCTGTGCTTCAGTGCTGTCCATAGAGTAAGAGCTACTGACATTTATGTATCTTACCAATGACCTAATCCAACCATCTCCAAACTTTTGGGCACCAGGGACCAGTTTTACAAAAGACAATTTTTGCCCCGCCTGGGGTAGGGAGATGGGAATGACTTCTGGAGGAGTCAAGTGAATTACATTTCTATTATTATTACATCGGAATGTGTGTTATATATGTGAACTAATTATACAACTACCATAATGCAGAATTAGTGGGAGTCCTGAGCTTATTCTCCTGCAACTAGATGGACATCACTGCCCCAGCTCCACCTCAGATATCACGAGGCATTAGGTTCTAACGGGGAGCACTCACTCAACCTAAATCCCTCGCATGTGTAGTTTATGGCAGGGTTTGAGTTTCTATGAGAATCTAACAGGCCACTGACCAATACCAGTCCACAGTCCAAGTGGTGGAGGGACCACAGGCCTAATCAATTCACAAGCCTTTACTGGGTGCCAGGATCTATCCAGGCCCAGAATGAATTCAAAGCAGTGACAAGAAGACTGCCCATTCCTATTTTCCTTTTTCTCCTCTATTTTCAATTTTTTTAGGTTCCTTTTTTCCCCACTTTCACTCACCACTGTACTAACCTGGAAGTAATAGCCTGTCTAGATGAGAAGCTATCATAAGCAAAGGACGGAGTCGTGAGCAAGTAGTATGACTGGAGGGCAATAAGGAGGGTGATCAGTTGTCTGGGTTGACCCTGAAAACGAGGGTACAGTATCTCAGCATGTGGGACGTTCAAGGTTGAAACAGGAATGCTCTTAGCCAACTGAGATGACTGATCATCCTACAGTACGTATTACTAGAACACTACAGTTGGAAGGATGACTTAATGTAATGAAGAAGTAGAGCAAAGGGGAAACGGGTTTAGAAAAAGTCTACATTTCCTTAGTCTAACACCTTCTCACCCTTTGAGACCAACTGCAGGTGTCACATTCTCTGTGAATTTCTTCCTGAACCCTCTGGGATGAAGGCAATCCCCTTGCACTGGGTTTCCAGAGGCCTTCAAGCATCTCACCAAATTGCTGTACCAACAACAAATACAATGATAGTTGTATATGCAGGCTTCGAACAAGACTGTGTACCCTCCGAAGGCAAGAACTGTGTGCTTTGCAAATTTAGATTATTTAAGTTCACTTCAGATAATAAGACATCACATACCACTGTATTTTTGTAAAAGATGTTTAAAGTTTTGTAACACTACAAACTCTTTAAGTATTTACTGGAAACTTATTTAAGAATGAGGATTCAGATTCCATAAAATACATATGGAAAATCTGAGTCTCTAATTGGGGCACCATAATTTTTAAGAGATTAGTGCCTCACTATTTTGCTCATGAGCTGAACAATGTGATTGTTGTGTGCCGCTAAGAACGAAACTGAAAAATCACAGAAAAAAGCTTTTCCTGGAATTTCTGGGTAACATACCAAGTTGCATTATTTAGAACTAATACTTTGACCTCTATTAACTACAAGGGTTGCAATTCAATTAGTGGTTTTGTAGCAAGTCTTAGAAACTGTGGGAACCCTGCCAGAGATATTTATGAACAGAACTACAAGAAAGAATTTAAACGGGAATATTGTGAAATCCATTGTCTACAAGCCGGATTCTGGGGTGTATGAACGTTGGAATAGAACATTTAGAGAATTCTCTAAAGAGAATTCTCAAAAAACAACTCTGACTAGTTTTCAAATAGGAATTTGAATTTGAAATCTAGGAATCTGCACCAGATTAAATGTACAAACAAGCAAGATTTGTGTAATGTGAACTACAGAAAATGTGAGACTAGAAGAAAACGCACTGAAAGCTGAAATGCTCCAGGAGTGAAAGTGCGGCTCCTTGAATCACAGCAGGAGAGATGGTGCCCTCGGGAACACACAGCCTCTCTCTGGGAAGACAGCACCTGGGGCCAAGCCAGGCTGAGTGCTTTACTGCTGCTGACAGTAGTGGGCTGATGCACAGGGGTGGGAGTCCACGAACAGCAAGTGGGCTTCTCGTCCCATGCTGCCACCTCCTGGGTTGGCCTCTTTCTGTCCCTGCAAACCTCACCTGTCACCCTCGGTGGTGCTACCACACATCTCCCCTATCCTTGGTCAGTGAGGGCAGCCAGCACCTCCTCTCCACCTGGATTACCTTCACCTAGACAACTGCCCCAGTCTCCTGCTTTCCAGTCTGGCCCCCTCCAGCCCACCCTTCCTTCTGCTGCCAGTGTCCTTCCCAAACCACACCGAGCTGTGTCACCAAACCCAGGGTCCCTCATAAAGAAGTTGAGTCTCCTCAGCCCACCCCCAACACCTTTCCCACCAGCCACACTGCATCATTCCTTGTGACCCTGCTGCACCTCTGGGTATGTCCCTGTCTGCTCTCAGATTCTCTCTCCAGTCATGCTGTCTCTGTGTTAGGAACCACAATTCCCAGGTTCCCCTGACATATGGCTTCTGGCCAGATTTGGCCAGTGAGAAGTGGTGGTGCAGACGGTTCAAGG